AATTGCTATGGCAATGCAACATGTCAGGAGAATAGTTATGTCATTGCATTTAATTATACCTCATGATCATGACGGCCAATCAGATTTGTGCATTACAGGTAGACACATTATATGTCTACCTGCATCCGGGTACCCCTCCCGAATTTACCTGATTTACGCCAATAACTTGTCAAATGAACGTGATATGCGACAATATTCATCAAATAAATAGTTTGCCAAGAAAAAACAAGGATCTTCTATCACTTTTGTGTGATTTTAGTCGTGCTTGTCACAAGTTTTTCCAGAGCATTGCTACGTGCTTTGAGACATTCTATCTGCAATTGTGCAGTTCATCTCTATTGTTTGATTTTGTCACGAATTTGTGTGTACCATGGAAGTAAAAAAAAATGCGTCCATGATAAAACTCATTAAATTCAATCACTGCAACTCTTTCAAGTTGGATATTTGTGTTCATACGTGCATTTAGATCTACGAGCGTGTCCTGGAAGATTGCCATAATTGAGTGCCACGATTTCTGTTTTAGGATTTATTCTCGGGTTTGCCTAGGTTGACAATGAGCTCTATGGGTACCTAAAACTGTATGTCCACCTCTGTTGGGGTAAAAATTTGTATATTTGTCACAAGAAATGTTACATCAATGCACTATGTCAGCAACACAACACAGTTTAGGATTGTTCCGAATTTAATTGCAAACCATGCTTATACAGACAATGATAATATACACCTATTCAAATGCATGGAGGATCACTACAGGATTTCTCTCGCATAATTCGGCTGCAGGTAAGGGCATAGGTATTCATCACTTAGCTAGTACTTGAAGAACAGTTCAGGATTGTTCCCAAGCCTCCCAAGTAAGGAGAACAATATTCCCCACATAGAACATAGACAAACATTTCAAAATACCTTATATATTGGCTGCAAATCCCACAAGTGAGAGCAAGTTGCATTGAGAATTGCAAAGAATATCTATATGTTTGCATGCGAAGATAAATCATTGCATCTCGTGTTTTCATGTTTTGGTAATATCTTTGGAATAATCATGTCTACGGTAATCATGTTAAGAAATTCCCATTTCAAAATTGTGTGTATGAAATGAGATTTCACTGAAAATAAATCAAATGAGCAAGTTTCTGTTTATGATGCTGGAATTTCCCCAATAATAAAGATAAATCCACATGTGTCTTACTGCTTTAAAATCTCTGATGCCAATTTGGTTTATTATAACTTTTATCAGTTTAGCTTAGGTATTTGTTACCGCATGGATGTACTAAGAATGGTTACAGTGAATGTATTTGTTAGCGCTATGTATTTGCGTGGACGAAAATCAAGTTTAGTACACCACGGCACGGTGATGGTGATCTGTGGAGTAAAAACCTGTGTTATGCCAATACCACTTTTTTTTCTTGCAGTTAAACAAGAATATTGTGCCGGTATCACGGTGCTTTATGAAGACAGGTACAGGTTTTACAATTTAATTTGTAATTTGTTATTCAGCGGTCCGAATAATTGTCATGGTCATTTAACTGTCAGATACACAATATTCAGATTCTCAAATCTTTAATACAAATGTTAGTATCACTACAGATTTACGTGATTATGAGTAACTAACCCAAATTAGAATGTTCCGATTGAATATAGCATTTTGTCATTTTATTTACAGATTGTGCCAAAACTGATTAATTTGCTCAAACTGAATGAGTGCAGAATGTGATAGGTTATTATACATGAACATACAACTAGTATGCATTAAAAGCGTCGGATTTCATGCACAATATTAAAGGGGGAACTAAATAGAGCCTAATTTGATATATGTGTGCATAAAGTTATGCATGTTGATTATAAATTTGAAAATTTTTTTTAAAAAGGATGATTATCTTCAGAGTTATAATGATTTTAATATGAGAAACCATACAACTGTGACGCACTTCCGTCAGCGCCATCTTGCCATAAAACAAACGCCCGCATGCAACTTAACATTGGATATAGAGACGCGCAGTGCTAATTACGTCTCTGCTTCTAACCATTACTATTAATTTCCAAGTTTTAGTTTAGTGACTGGTGATTTGGACAGTGTTTGTAACCTGCCATGTGAGAGTATGACCTAATATGGGGTACTGGTGACATCACGTACTTATCAATCAGACCATTATCAATTGTTTGTAGGGTGCCAATCATGTGTTTACACATACTTAATATCAGTTCATATCATATCGACTATTTTTATAGCCGTAAGGTAATAAACGACAGTAACGTAACTTTCGTCACGTGTGGCAGCTGCTCTTGCACTTACTTACATTGTTAAAAAAACTCTTGTGACCCACCTCCCCGATTTAACGAAGTAAACCCTATGGTTTTCACCATGAATGTGAATATTTCTACACGTCTCCCGAGAAAACAAGCCATGCATGGCACAGTACCTGTGGTTAACATTTCAAATTTTCATACGAGTGTACGTATGAGCGCCAGCAATAAGGAGGGTCGTTTTTATAATCCAGCTTGTATAAAAATAGTATTACTACTTGGTGCTATCACTGGAAATACGAGTGTACGTATGAGCGCCAGTAATGGGGAGGGTCGTTTTTATAATCCAGCTTGTATAAAAATAATACTACTTGGTGCTAACACTGAAAATACAACTACTAGTATATGCCACCCTGTATACAACTAAATATACATGTCCTATAAGTCACACGTAGAAGCTGTGTGGCGTATTTGTTCAATAATCAACTACTTAAAAATACATCGACAGGTCACAGACTGTAAATTGTATTGTTGATTCTAGTGTGCGGTCGCCTTCACTCTGTGTGTGTGAATGTATTGTTCGATCACGGTACTTGTTCTTTGTGACGACTGTATGTCTGTTGATGCGAGCGGCCATCGCATTGCATTGGTAATAATTGGTTGCGATCACGTCCCGTCAAGCCACCACCGTGACCACAAAACGTAAGTAACACCCATATTATACAACTGGGAGATTCAAGTTCACGGCATAGTTTTCTAAGTTGAAGGGGGCTGGGCGTTGTCGACGTTACAGTTCCATTTATGATCGGTTTGAAAATAAAAAAACACACGACAGAATGATATAGACATGTGATCAATTGCATTGGGTACGTCAGACGTGCATAGGCGATGTTTGTACGGGTCATAACCACACTAAGTGTTGTATACCAGAGCTACGGGTGAACAGTTTTCAGAAAGTATTGCATTACGTAGGAGGCCCTTTAATTCACCCGTGTAGCCGGACAGCAGAGGTCATTAGTTCGCAAAGTTGCGGTAACCTGTGAACTACTTACGACGTCCGGTGGAAATATGACAATAGGCTATTCAGACAAGTAGCTTTACATTCATTGTGCTAAAGTGCTTAGCGCCATAGTTGTGACAGCTGCGATGGAACACAGACATGATTGTGCAACTCAATAAAGTAAACGTTTGATGCCAATTTATTTTGTGAAAAGCTCCATGAAAACGTTGACGATGTGAGGCCAAAACACAGAAAATCTGAAATATATATATATTTTAATTTTACTTCGAAGACAAAACTCAACGTTCAAAGCAGGAATTGTCATGGTCTTATTCTGATTTATACGTTCAGATCATATTAAAGGAATTCTAGCAATAGTTGTGTGTAAGGACTTGTTAACGTGTTATGGGAAATAGTTACACTTTCAGTAGCATTCCTACCCGAATGATGTTCTTTCGGAATTCAACGGAGTGCTTCTCATTGTTGCTGGTACAATTGTTGCTAGTATAATTAATAAATCGAGTTATTGGGTTATTTTTTTATTTTAGAAAGGTTCTTGTTAACTTGTGTTTGGTTGACGCTTCCAGAAACCTAACTGTTCACAGGCTTTTCCTATGGACAATGCCAGTGTCCCATGCGAAAATACGCTAAACGCATCACCCACAATCCATGATTTGTTTGGTTCTTTCTTGAATCCGGTTTATTTTGTTTACTAAGCTGGGAATAATTGTTGGACAATTGTGTACATTTCAAGCACAACTTCGTCAATTCGCCATTTCCGTGATGATGTTCAATTTCCCACAAATGCATACGTCATTTGGAATCATTTTCAATAATATTGATTCTTGAAAAATATTACAGATATGTGCAATGATGAAGTTTTTAGGTACATTGCAAACAGAATACGATTTTACCATATTTTGATACTCAACTCACTTCTGTCCGATTTGTTGTACGCAGTTTGATGTAGTTGGTATGTGTGCGACTCGGGAGTGATTGATTTATTTTTTCTTTGTCGGATATTTATTCCATCAATTAATATTTCAAATCATCATTTTATAGGAAGCATTTGAAAATGAAGGGAGGTGAAACTACGCAGACAACCGAAGCGAATTCGATGCTGGGCAACAACCCGCATCAGGATCGTGAAGACACCGACCCCGATGAAGACATGACATGTGGAATAGGATGCTTTAAACCCAAATGTCTCCAAGTATTTGCAAATATCAACGTTGCTTTGTTGACAATGTGCGTCACCCTCTTTATGTACTCCTTCGGGTGGGGGATCTCCGCTACTGGAATAACCAGTATGCAAATACGGTACGGATTGCCAACCTGGATCATTGGTTTAAATGCCTCAATGTTCGAAGTGGGCGTATTGGTTGCGGTCATATTGGTAACGTATTTCGGCGGCGGTCCGAGTAGTCACCGCCCTCGGTGGATTGGCGTTGGCACACTCACCGCTGCATTGGGAACTTTCCTGGTGGCGTTGGTGCATTTCCTATTCGGCCCGTACGAGTACAGTGGAATGGCGACGGGTACCAATGATACACAGTCTTACATACTTTGTGAAGACCCATTAATCAGTGAAAACACCTCGTCATCTATGTGCGAAAAACTTATATTAAGCAGCGATAAAACCACGACTATCGCGATAATGGTGATTGGTCACATTCTGATCGGAGCAGGCTTCTCACCAGTATTAACACTTGGCATCTCTTATATCGATGACTTCGCGGGAAAGAAAAAGGCGCCTTTGTATTTAGGTGAGTATTCGGGGACGAACCGTGTCTATATTAACACAATTATTTACAATACATTATTATTATTATAGTTACGGTCGTGTTTTATAATCGACCACTTGTTGATTGCAGTTCATTGTCGTTATATACAACGTTCAAATAAGTCTTGTACCCCTCGTGACAAAGCTTCTCCATGACGTACGAATGACGTAGTGGGTCAACTCTGTTTGGTAAAGTCGTTCGTCATTTAAAATATAACGAATCTCTGAATCAGTATTTGAAGTGATCGATATGTCAAAAAAAAAATTGACGCTGTAAGCAGAAGTCCTGTAAACCAATGTACCGCCTAACAAAACTGATTTAGTAAGAACCCTCACTCAAAATGGAATCTGTCGTCAAGAAAAATAAATAATTGTATGTGACTGCATCAGTGATATTAGGTAAAAACAAAAAATGAGGTTAATAATCGTTTTTATTTAAAATGTGAATTTCATATTACCAAATTACAAATCTATAGCAACGTGTGTTGTTTTTCAATATTATTATATCAATGTACGAATTTCTTTTGCGTCAATGTCGCGTCAGTGAAATGACACAACTAGTTGCGTTACAGGATTTGTTTTCGTTACTGCGTGTACACCCCTTTACACCACGGTTTATTGGAAGTACTTATTTTACTACAGGTATTTTACAGGCCATGTACCCACTCGGCCCAGTGTTTGGATATCCCTTCGCCTCGTTGTTTATAAGTTATTATGTGGACATCGACAAGGTGGACCCGGAAGATATTGAACTAACACCTCAGGATCCCCGATGGGTTGGCGCATGGTGGCTGGGATATCTTATCGACGCCATTCTTCTTTTTCTGTGTGCGATACCATTTTTGCTGCTCCCCAAAAGACTGCCTGATCCTGGCGATAAATACCTGTACGACCAGGACGTCAAGGATGAGAACAAGGACGAGATGAATTTGGAAACCGGAAGAGAAATTATTTCCCGAATAAAAGGTGGGTGTGTAATATTACTTTGTTAGATCTACGTCTACTCGCATCTTCGCCAGCCAAGGAAAGTTTGTTTCGGGTCACCCCTCCAAACTAACTTTTGGTGGAGTCGGCAATGAATCGGCACCAACAAACCGTACGATTCGGACGATGGTCTACTCGTTGAAATTAAGCTTCCATTGAAATCTATCCCGATAAACGCTTACTGCAATAAAAAAACACAACAATTGATGACGTCAATATAAGAACACAACATTGATGGCGTGTACAGAAAACATTGCGCTTGGTGGTAGCCATCGTTTTTAAACTGCTTTTCCCGACGTTTCTCTTTTGCCAAAACTGTAGGCCGAGAAAAAGAGCGGTATTTTCACATTCTTCCCAAATATAGCCAACCAAATTATTTTAAAACGCCAAAAAATACATACATCGTCCGAATCACTCAATTTAGTGATGATACACATGGTGTGGAATTATTTCAGTTCAAGTATCAAGTAGCTCACTGAACTATTCGCACTCATACTGTGACGTCATTTAATGTGGATAGTTCGTTGAACTATTTCCACTATGACGATGAGACCGTATTAGGAATTGTCCACCATGTGTCAAGGAGAAATCGTAAATGATATTGTATCTCACGTGATCGCATATTGACCAATCACTGGACAGAATCTGGATGTAAAATACATGTTGTAAACAGTATTATTAAATGCCCTATACCATTATTTACTACTCATACAGACTTCCCCAGTGCACTTCGTCGACTACTCGTGAATGTACCGTTCATGACGGTGATTTTTGGCCATGCTGCAGCAGCAGCAATTGAAAGTGGATCAGGTATATTTTTTAACAAGTATATGGAAGAACAGTTTAGGATTACCCCCACTTTGGCTGCAAACCTCACAGGTAAGGACAATGATGTTACAGCGAAGTCATATGTATGTCACTACAATGTCACGTGTATGTTTTTATGAGTTCATGTATGTCATAGCATGGTAACCCGTATGTTAGTGCGAAGTCACCTGTATGACAATGCGAGGTGACCTGTATGTCAGTGCGAGATCACCTGTATATCACTGCGAGGTAACCTGTATGTCAGTGCGAGGTAACCTGTATGTCAGTGCGAGGTCACCTGTATGTCAGTGCTAGGTCACTTGTATATATCACTGCGAGGTCACCTGTATGTCACTGCGAGGTCACCTGTATGTCACTGCGAGGTTACCTGTATGTCACTGCGAGGTCACCTGTATATGTCACTGCGAGATTACTTGTATGTCACTGCGAGGTCACCTGTATGCTGCTAATTGAGTATCAGTATATCATCTCATTCGTTATTAAATAAAAAAAACATATTTACGTGACAATAAATCTGACTGTGTTAGTTTTACTACTATGGTCTGTTCCCAACTCACTTTTCCGGTTGTGTTGTTGTGAGGTGATTTATACGCACCCCGTTTTTTGTATCATATCAATCTTTTCACGAGTTGTTGACCAATGCAAGGATTATGACTGTGTTCCATGATTTTAGGGGTTAGTATGATTGCCACACTTACCATTGGCATATTCCTCGGCGGACTCTACTTGCATAAAACGAAGCCAAGTCTGATACATTACGGCAAGATGTTGGTGTTCTTTGCTGTTCTAAATGCTATATTACCGATACCACTTGTGTTTCTTGGATGTGAAGAGGAGCGTTTTGCCGGTGTCACCGTACCATACCAGAACAGGTCAATATATCAACATGTTTTCGGATGTCGTTCTGATTGGCAAATATTATACAAAATTCCAATGTCTATAATATTAAGTATTTGCAATTTTCTTTAAATATGCACTATGCCGACATAAAAACAATATTTTTTTTATTTATTTACGATAGTATGTATAATGCGCCTCCTTTATTGAATTTTCTCCTACCTATGGAAATAAGGAAATTATTTTTCATTTTACTATAGTTCCAGCATCTCTATGGAACATTTGGACTACGCCTGCAATTTGCCATGCGACTGTACTCTAGCCGAATACGACCCAGTCTGCGGGAATGATGACGTCACTTACTACTCGCCATGCTACGCCGGCTGTACTAATGTGATAAACGGAGTGAGTTTGAAGAAATAATAAGTCGCACCCTCTAGCGACCGAACACATCTGAGAGGCGAAATAGCGTAGCACTACTTGTTTTGATCTGTCATGTTATAAGAGTTCCCTTTACACGGGTTAACCGGGTCGTCGCCTGCGCAGCGCCATAGCGTCTCGTTATTTACAAACATCTACGTCTACCCATGAGCCTTTGCGTTTTTAGCGTGCGTTGTTATCGCAATCTGTTTTGAATAACAGTAAAAAAGTTAATCATTAAAATTCAAACATTTGCAGATACTGATTGTTTAGATACAACAACAGAATTACGAATTATTTGATTTATCGCGAATTTTCACAGTTGTCAGTTGTTGTAGTCATGTATAAACCCAGTTTAAAGTTCCTTGAACAGAAAATTGTTAATGAATATGCCACTATATCACTTTATAAAATACAAATATTGAGAACATAATTACGTAAACATGCTCAAAAATACTGGGTTAACATTATTTTCAAACGACGTCATTTTATTTATATTACAGAGTTTCTATGACTGTTCATGCTTTAAAAAAGACAGCGTTGGTGGAAATTCATCGCAGTCATTTATAAGCTATGCAATACCGGGTATATGCGGCGAACAATGTAATACAATGTTGATTTGGTTTGTAATTGTATGTTCTGTGTATAGTCTGGCAAGTGGTATCCCGCTGACATGTGACATTATTGTCGCTATGAGGTGAGTTGATGACTATGCGATTAGATTAGGGGGTCTGGAACGTCTTCTAACTTTCATTATTATGTCCATTTTGATACAAAAACTATTTTTTGAGGCACAAGAGACCAAACTGTTATGCAAAATGGTCAAAATGTGGGATGGTTTCTTGAATTTATTCGGTAATATGGTATGAAAAAGTCATATATAGATGTGATCCAAACATTTATTATAATATTCAATTTCCAGTGTGATCCTAATTGTCCACACTCTCCCATAATGCATTGCGTATATGCGCAGTAGCATGACCAATTATAACGGCCAATCTATGTACTTTATAAAAACCTGTGTTCTGACCTTTGTTCTTAACGTCACGTCCCTGGTGGCACCATCACAGAAGACGAATACTCACCAAGACGATATCTTAGCGTGTCAACGTCTGATTTTGTGTTCGTTATTTTTTCTAATGAGAACACTGTACTATTGTTTGCTACAACGGATAATGCAATACTGTGACAAGGTGGTTTTCTAAATATAAATTAAAGCATTGTGATACATAAACGTTAATTACATCGTGCTATTAATAGTTCATTGAACTATCTTGAGATTCACATCAAATCACCGTAAATCCACAGCGAATTAACACATTCTACGCATGTTTCCCCATTTGATCTAATTCCCATGCTAAATGACGTTTTATTATAATAACGTCAGGCGCTATTGTTGTCAAATGGGCGACATTAACCATTTAATACAAGTTACTGTTGAGCCCATGTCTATCGCTTACGTCACAGTGTCGCACACTGACCCAAAAATCAAGCACGGTACTATTTGAGCGAAATCTAATCAGGCCGCTTTAGAATTACCAATTCGAATCTGTCGAATCATAAACAGCGATTTTCCAACCGTATGAATTTTTATTATCAACCTGTTAATAGTCTAATAATTAGTAATCTTACTCGGGTTTTACTTATCTCAAGAAAAGAAACCAAAAAAAAATCTAGCTAGTTTTGGGAGGAAAAAAATAGTTGATTAGTGACTAAACTAAAAAAAAACTACACGCTAGTATATCTTTTTATCTTTATGCCACAGGTGTGTTGACGAAAAGGACAAGCCATTTGCTCTAGCAGTCAGGCAGTTTATTGCCCAGTTATTTGGTAAGTAAATAAAAACAAAACGCGTTTGTTCAATAAGACATCATACACATTTATATATATATATATAAACAGTATTTTAATTGACGGTCGACTGCTGATAATAACAATATCGATTCAGAACGACGCCACTTACACCTATTACGTCACAGAGGCGATTCGTTGCTAGAGGACGCATTGCTTTGCATCATCATAACATTCGCAATACAATACAATAAACTATACCTAGACATGTGCGTGTTAAAATGACGAATATAAACTTATTATTATTTTATACAGGATGGATATTCACGCCCCTTTATATGGGAGCAATTATAGACTCGGCATGTATTCTATGGGACGAGGATGAATGCGGTGGTCGCGGTGCATGCTGGTTATATGACTTGACTGACTACAGAATAAAACTTGGAGGCTTTATACTTGTTATGACTTTGTTGTCAACGATACTGTTTACTGCAACACTGATAGCCATCAAGTATAAACACAGGATTCAGGAACAACAGAAGACGGTTGTGTACCTGTAAAATCCGCCAGTAACCGCGCACAGACAAAACACAACCGCACGCTTCGGATTTTCATCGATCTTTTATGCAGACTAAGGCTAAGGCTAAGGCGAATACGAGTGTCGAAAGGAAGCCGACCTGTATTACAGTTCCTTGTTGCGTGGACTCCCTCAGTTCGGTAGTTCGTATACGTATGACGTAACATCATTTGATGATCATTTGTAATAATTGTCAGCTTTCTATCACGTGACAGGAATATAATCAGCCCACTGCAGCATATAACTACTGCAAATAATTCACTTGTATTTATATCAAAATATATATTAGAAAATTCGTCATTATATGAGCCGGGGTACTCCTACATCCGGTCAGGACTATGAATATTAAGACAAACATAACAACTGATAGTTAATCTTACGAATATTTCTATAATCGTTTTTCATCTACCCGCAAATCTTCATCAAAAAACAATCAAAGGAAAGGTCAGTCAAAAACAGTCGGCATACACAAGAACAATATGTGCATGAAAATATGCATATTATAGGAAATTCTAAAGCGAGGCTGTGTAATACGCATGTCAATTGCCATTACACTGTTTACAATTATCACATGTGTTTATGTACCTAGGTTTTGCTAATTTTTAGAGGTCAGTGCACCATTGTAAATTTAACAGACATGTTCACTGCCATGGGTAATGTCAGTTTCGTATGTAAAAACTGACATGCGAACAGATTATGATCAATTTTGTGACTAATGTAATATAATGTGATTTTTGATTTACGGGTATGTAAAACGAAATGACATTAACGGATGTAACTGATAACTTTTCCAATGAAATCCTTAGCACCCCGTTGGCAGGCCAGTCACACTGGTTCTCACCACAAGAGGTTACGATCCCCCCTGCCAAATGCTAAGAACAACTGAAACTAATGTATACATATTTACATGAAACATTTTCCACCTATGCGGATCTGTTACCCAGGACATAAAAAAAAAGTTTTAAAGCTGAAAAGCGACACGCCTAAATCGTGAGGCCAAACCTGTAATAATTCGGGGAGCGCTGAAAAGCACCGCGTTCACCCGCGCGTTCAGTGTGTTGAGGAAAATGAAAAGCCAAGAGAGTGGCAATTTAGTGTTTGTGTGTGTAGACTGACATCCACCATGAGAACTAATGTCACGAAACCAGGGATTAACACAACAATAACCAAAATGTAATGTAATGTAATGTAATGTAATGTAATGTAATGTAATGTGATTTTTGATTTACGGGTATGTAAAACGAAATTACATTAACGGATGTAACTGATAACTGTAATGTAATGTAATCGTATTACATAAGAAATTACATTAACGGATGTAACTGATAACTGTAATGTAATGTAATCGTATTACATACATCTGATACAGTACCCTGTGGCCACGGCAGTAGTGTGGCAGTAGGTGTTTTCATGAAGCTAGATTGTTCCAGCTAAATGTTTAACTTAATGAAATTGCAAATTTAAAAATGAACAAAGCAAACAATGTCATTATTCATGGTCATTTACAAGTTTAATAACGCAACACACTGGCAAACAATCAACAACTATTCACACAAAGGACAGATAATCCACAATTAGGACAAAACAAGTACACAACAGTATATACTCAGTCAAATCAGTAAGAGGAGAATGTATGGTCCCCATGGTAACATGAAGTAATATCAAATGTTTAAGAAAGACTGATGACATGCTGCCTTACATATGACACCCACTGTGATATATCTTGAGTATTATTTAAATGGTTTATGTTAAAAACCAAGAGCTGTACATCAACAATAAATATAAGAGTATATTTATTAACAAACACAGGCAATGATTTTATTAAATAGCCATCAAGATGTAAGTGAAGTTTATTAATGAATAAAAAAAGAGATTTACATTACACAATATACAACATGTGAACAAGTATGCTGTAACTGTATAACATGAAAGAATCCAATGTTGTCTAAAACAATATGTATATCAAGTACCACTATAATCCTATACAGGATTATTACAAGTGAATTTCATTACATTTTTTGTCAAAAATATGCATTGCGTTGCATTTGAGTGAAACATACAAGATTGATCGGCACTTTCGACATTGCATGTACCTATGCTAAATTTATTTAACATTTAAATAAAATAAACAAATCCTGCTTTGTACAATAGGAACGTTTTTTTATCTGGTACAATAATAACACTAGTACATTGAACAGCTTACTAGTATGTACATGGTTTCATGCGGTTTGCATAATTAACTAGACCTTCTAAAACTATATCCATATCTGTCCATACTAAAATTGATTCAACTGACTGTTCCCTCATCAGTGTAATATCCAGTATAAATATCTATATTTTTGTGATGAAGGAAAAAATTACTTTTACCATACCTTTAAATCACTTGTGACCAGAAAATCGATCTGTGAGAACCGATATAGTAACATTATAAACAGCAAGCGAGGGTAGCGAAGATATAAAACTTCTTTTTAAAAAACATTAGCATATTTGGCGGGAGATAATAACTAAGCCAGTTTATTCAGTTTCGGGGCAGGATCACATGTCTTATAGTATCGATATAAGACCTTGCTCTATCCAATAAGATGGCTCGATTCAGACTAACCAAGTTAAAGTTTGTAAATATACCAAGTTGGTCAAATGTAAATTGTGATTTTGAATTTTAAAACTCAGAATTTAATGATGTATAGACATGTGATAATTCTTTCGTTGATTGGTCCAGGGAAGCATAATTAGACACCACCTCGCCACCAATAACATGACCTTCTTCATTCATATTTATAGTATAGTATTCATGGTTAGTGGCCCCATTTTCTGGTGTATTACTTACGATGGAATGTTCATTGATGACGTAATTACTTCTTGGTCCTGCTTCAAAGGCTATATTTTCAGGTAGGTCAACGACTACATAATCATCCAACGTGTTGGTTCGTTGAAATTCCGACACCGCATTTTGTTCGCCGGTTTCGTGCAATGCTACCTGTTCAAAATCTTGAATTTCCTGCTCGGTTTGGGGTCCTAATCCTCTGCGATCTGTATCAGCACATCGCACAGTCATTGAAGCAGCATTGCCGACGTTTGGGACGTTTTTCTTGATTCTCCTGTTCGTGAAAAAAATCCATACACAATGTTTATTTTCTTAATAATTGCATTAACTCTAATGATGTCATTATTACTGGTGTATATTATATATATACCACCTAAAATATTGATACAACGCAAAACAGGGTAATCAAAAATGAAGGTTGGTGGGACAATATCACCTATTGTCTAGTCATGGTTTGCATACACCGAAATATTTCATAAAGTTGAATTTGCTAATTTGAACATGCTAATTTAAGTAAGCATGCGTATCGTATCTCCATCGACGCTATGACTGAATAACTATCTGACGTACTGAAAAATAGCAATATAAGTTCGTTTGGTTTTTAATAAATTAAATTGGGTCTCGTTTTGTTTGAACAAGTCGCTTGAGATAATGATATGAACGTTCAAATAAGTAAGCAACATATACTGATGTGATCAAAAGCACCACTGGTAACCCGTCCGTCTCTCATTGCCTATTAATATATGCAACCAAACTAAACACCATCACCCCGCACCACCAATTTTCCAACTATCGCCATCCCTTTGTACAGTAACGTTACTACAGACCAGGAAAGAATCTTACCGTTTTTTTGTATTGCGGTAAATAATCATCGTGAACAGTGTTGCAACCACAACAATAATTACAACTCCGCCAACAAACACAACAATTAAATCTGAAATTACAATTCTTTTGTGTCATTTAAATTGTATTGTAATCTTTAAAAAAAATTCTATACTAATTGAATTGAATTGAATTGAATTGAATTGAATTGAATTGAATTGAATCAGATATTACAATTAATGGGCTTTGAGAAGATAATCTCACTTTTTGTTATTGTTCTTGATTTGGGGGTATGTATTTCAAAGTCGTAGTTTTCTTCAGTGGTCATACTTATGGAAGATTGTGACATCAATTCCCAGTCAATGAAATTCACAGTGCTAGTGGTTGCTTCTATGCACAAGTGACAGAAAATATGTTACATACTAATCAATCATTTTATTGGTAATATTTACATATGAATAAAATCACCTGAGTGTTGTCCACTCAAGACGCCTGCATACCAAATATTAATTAAAAATATCATGTTAGTGGTTTTTGTAAAAGATGATCTCATTTTGTTACTGAGAATTAGAAAGCATGTAATTCATCTCTGGTCATGACTAGGAAATAATGTTTCTTCTATGTACGTATGTATGATTGACAGAACAGAAAGAGTTATTATTATTATTATTATTATTATTATTGATGTAGTATTCCCGTAATATTTAAAAGTTATTGAAATAAACAGATCGGGTTTGTTCGAACAACTTTTCTGTATATATTCGCAATCCCAAACATATTCAAATAACAGCTTATAAGAAATATAACAAAGCATATTATGATAATATGATTATATATTATACCTCTACATTTGTTTTGTATCGTCTCCATCACCATCCATTCACCATTCTCTGTACATATGAACTGATTGGTCACTACACTGTCACCACATAGTTGTGTCATATTCACCATATCACCTTCATAGTAGATATCACGTTGTGGGAGTACTTCTTTCTCACCAGATGCATTACATTTAGAAACAGCTGTTAATAGATAATATGACAAGATGAATTCAGGCCACAGATCACAAACATATAGATGAACATGACTATGATCCATTTTGACCCCAAAGAATATTGAAACATTTTTTATGGCATTGAGTCATGAGAGCTAAAATGTCAAAATCACACGTTGAGGGAGCACTTCTTTTACGCTAGATGCATTGCATTTAGAAACAGCTGTAGGAATACGAGATGACACGGATTTAGTATCTATAGTCACTCATAATAATCGTGACTATAAGTATTTTCAGTACAGCAAGACCGATGATATAATTGTGGCTATCTTGCAATCCAATA